AGCATTTAAAATTTTACTCCTAATAATTTTAAGCTTCAAATATTATCTTTAAACATTTTAGATTATTCATTTACATATAATCTTCTCAACGTTGCTTCATAAAATTCTCTTATCGGGTTAAAAATATTCCAATTTTCACGAAACTTTCAATATTACAAATTATTAATTAATAATAACTTTTTACTTATACTTTTCCTGGTGTGAATAAAAGATATTAAATTAAAATTATGAATAATTATATTTAAAAGGAAATTTTTCTCTTCAATTTCAATCATTTTATTTTATAGTTTCAATTATTTTAAAAATATAATTTATTTTTATTATCGCTTTAACAATTTTAATTATGAGAAAGTTTAATTATAAATTTAGTTAATTAAATTTACTTTCTGTTTTGAGTGATAAATAACTTTTTAATGAAAAGAAAAACGATAAAACTATGTAATTCATTATTAAAGTAGTTTCATTATTAAATAATTATATTAAATACTCTATTTAAAAAAAATTTCTTTATCTATATATATTAAAATACGTTTTTAACACAATAAAAATGGACAAAGTAGAAAAATCTCTTTAGACTTTGTCATCGAAATTGATATGTTTAGTAAGCTAAGATTTTTAAGTAAATAATTAATATTAAAACTGATAACCAAAAATACTCTCAAAAGAATTTTATCAACTAATGTCGCATTGCAGAAAAATTGAATAAAAATATTAAAAAAGAAATTTATCTCTAGTGAACCATTCCATTAGTAACTAAAAAATATTCTAATAAAATCTAATATAGCAATGTAATTCTTTAGCTAAAAGCTAGCAAAACATTAACAAACTTTAAATCATATTGAATTAATTCCAACAGACATACTGTAGAGGGACCATAAAGCTCGAAATTATTTTTAATCGAATATATCATTATATTAAATTTAAAATGTGTTAGATGGAAACTCAAAATATTACTAGTAAGGCAATAATTATTACAAAACTGGGGTATAAGACTGCTGTATACTTCACTCTAATTATTATAAAAATTATGAACATATTTTCTAAAAAATATATTTTTGAATAGTTAATAAAACACACATTTTGAATATTTTAGCTTTGCAATTACAAAGACTTACAGCTGAATTCCTCATATTAAGTAAGGGTAATAACTTAAAAATAGCATTCATTAACACAAAAACTCAAAATTGATTAAAGTAACGTTAAATCAGCACAGAGCTTTCTTCTCATCCTCCAGAAAAATGGAAAGCCTGTAAAATTTTAAAAATTTCTACAGTTGCTGAAACATCACTAACGGATGCAATCGGGAATTAAATACGTAGAGATGAAGAAAAACTCAATATTTTCGCACAACATCTGTCCAGTCTTTCAATCAAATATTGCTATTACAGAACATGAACTTTTACAACTTGTAACTTGTAATTAAAGTATTAAAACCCACATCCCATCTTACTACAAAAAGAAAAAGAAAAAAGAAAAAGCTCATTGCAATGATGAAATTACTTCGAAACTACTTAAACTGTTAGATGTTTTAGCAATAGTCTACAAAAGCCCTTAGCAATACATTACCATATCTACATTACCAGACTGTTCAATGCCAGAAAGCTTGTTCCTCGAACAAAAAGACGTTTACGCCTAAAAAGATCAGACTACACCGCCATAAGTCAAAATAAAATTTACTTTGTTATATGTCATTATTAACGTCACTACTCTTTCTCGTGTTCTCTTCTACTCTTGTCCCTTCTTCTTGCAAAATATATAATCCCTGAACCACCTTTTCATAGAGCATATACTTTTCTAATCTTGCTATCCCAATTATAAATAAGGAGAGACGTATAAAATCAGAATTACTCAGTATAGTTGACTTCTAATTGTCGACAAGTAACATAATTTTGTAATGTATATATAAATAGTTATACGTTTTAAATACTTAATATTAGTTTCTAAGATTCAATAAATAATTAAAATGCAAAAAAAGGTTAATAAATTTTCTTATATCTTAAATAAACTCTTATAATTCATAACCTGAGTCATAAATTAAACTATTTTAAATTTTTAAATCAAAATGAAGTTGAAGTAAATAGAAACTAAGTTGAATAACTAAACATTAAATTCTCAGACCCATTAAATGTTTTAATGTTTTTCAATTATTAAGATTACTTGATAGTGCTTGAGTCATATTCACACTATTCAGAAGATCTGACTATATACCAATTTTATGACTACATTTTTAGTACTTTTCGTAATTAAAAATTTTATAAAAAAGTCACGTTCTTAAGTAACAAATTTAATTAGATATTAATTTATCATTCATCCACTATTCCATAATTTGAACTTACGAATACTCAATAATTTATCTGTCAATCTTCGCTAAAAGCACACATAAATTATTAAATATATTGCTTTATTGATTCAATTTCTTAAAGACACTTCAACAAATATGTGAAAAGTAAATAAACAGTTTTTTAATTATAGTAACTTTTTATATATATACATCTGTTTCTTTTAAACAGTCATTAAACAGTCATTCTATAATAAAATTGTAATATAAAATTTTTTTTATTTAATTAAAAACAAAATTTTATTGTTTTAATATAGAATGTGGGAAACATTATAGTTTAGTATACCTTTCACACTTTTGTGAATAAACGGCATATTAAGTTTGTCAAAGTGCTTGTAATATATTACTAACAATATGAAATATCATATCATATTTATATATATATATATTTAAGTTGCGCAGTTTCTCACCATAGGTTCTTATACAACAGTGACCAGAAAGAACGGCAGTAAGCATTGCAGTATTCAGACTCATATTTGTTATATGAGGGTCGTACTGTTTATAGACTAGAGTTCTCCGTTCAAGTCCTCCATTCAAGTAAAAGTGAATCAACCTAATAAGTGTATAAACTTAGACAAATTTATAATTTTGTAGGATGACAGTTCTATCAGGTCGTGGTGCTGAGTAGGTTACGCCTTAGTTGAAGCAGCTGACGTACGTTCAGCTTGAACCAGGTCGAACTTGAGATCTGATAGAAGAACACTGTGCTACTTAAACTGAAATCGTATTGGATTGGTTAATAGTTACATATTTTTAATATAGACTACGAATAAACCTCACCAACGATCCAGACCACAGATTTTTAAATTTATTAAAGCATTTTCTAGAGAGGTTTCGAAAAGCAGTGAAATACAACAATAAAAATTTTTTAAAATTATTTTTACTAATTGAATTTTTGACTGACCATACAGCTGCTTCGAATATTGTCAAATATCCATTTAAAACATTTTCTGTAAACGGAATATTTCGGTATTATTTCATGCAAACGATACAGCAAAAATGAAAACAAAAAATATGGTCACTTTAAGTGTAGAACATCTATTATATACTGCTCTGTTATTGGTGCTCTAAGATTATTTTAATTTGGAATACTATCGACTGAAGATTTTATAAAAAAAATTGAGTTAGTATTTAATATAGAGAAACAGACTAAAATTCCTACTATAAATTATGTCACAATCGACATAATAACTTAGCAGGTTTCAAAAAGTAGTGAACTACAACAACAAAAATTATTTTGTATTATTTTAATTAATTGAATTTTTGGCTAACCTTACAGCTGTTTCGAATATATCTGAAGACCCATCATCAGTAGTTTTAGAAATATTTTTTGTATTTAAATATTCGTAAATAATTTTTTTGAGACTACAACTACCAGAGAGTATCAGCCGTATAATCTAATCTAACTTCTTGTTTTTATTTTTGGTGTGGCAATGGACATAATAACTTATAATCTAACCTACCTTCTTACCTCTCTTTTTTTTCTTTTTTGTTTTAAAGTGGCGGAGAAGGTGTAAAGCCTTCTCATAACTGCCACGATGGTTTGACAAACCTTAACATATTAATGTGTAGTATACGGACTAATGCAGCCCCTCTTCGGAGAGACTTATTCTCTTCGGAATAAATATAGCTTTCACTAACTTGAAACAATTAAATTTAAAAAATATTTTTAAGCTTATATTTTTTCTTTACCAAAAATATATAAATGTTATTTATTCACAATTAGAAATTTGGAAAATTTGAAGTAATTTGTTTATAAATTATTTTTATATATAATTTATTCTTATATTATATTTGAAAAGAATTATAATAAAACTGTGTGAACCAGCCATTAGTTTTATGATTAATTAACTATTGAAATGTAAAAATTTTTTTGTGAATAAATATTATAAATAAATATTAGAACTCATTAAAAATCAATTTGGTGTGAAAAAAATCTAATAGAAACCATACATATGAAACCAAAAAGAAACCATAGAATAACTATATGGGGTTTACGGTACCACCTTAATGACTTTATTATAATAATATAATTATTAAAATTTTTGATCACTTCAAAATTATTTATTGCATTATTGAAATTTTTTAATATTAAATGAAGTCCAAGTTTCACATACTTAAATTTATTAAACATATATTAACTTTTCAATTATTTTTTGTGACCACATTAATTACAGAAATAAAATCATAAATATATTTTCTCAAATTTTTATGGTCATTAAACATGAAATACTTGTAATAAATACGTAATTAAATCAAAAATATAACATTTTTAAGTGTTTTTAAGGCAACTCAACCACAACACAAACAAAAAAAAAACACAAAACCACAATCGAATTGAGAAAAAAGTGATGCCGCCAGTTATTTATTTAAGTAAACGGATTTACTGGAAATTTTCAATTGCACTTTGTTGTTTGTGTAACACATAATATTTTATTAATATATGAGACATAAGTAAATTGATATGTTACAATACTCGGTTACTTATATAACCGAATATTTTAAAGTCAATTACAAACACAAAAACAATTGCACTAAAGCAAATATAACAAAAATTAGTAGAAGAAAAACAAAACAACAAAAAACTAATCTATATTACTCATACGCAGTGTAAATCGATTTGAATGGTGAAAAGACAATTTTGTTTATTGTTTATACTTACCATTATCGACGCAGCAGCCAAGCAATGCAACAACAAATAACGCGGCAACATGGAGTTGTATTACACCACTCCACACCCTGTTAGCAGTTAATGAATATGTTGATCTTTTTGTATGTTTTCTAGATATGCAAGTTGCGGTTGCTGCTGGTAGTGTTGTTTTTTTGATCGTTGTTGTTGTTCTATTTGTTGTTGCATGATTTTGTCCCTGACGTTGCGTTCTATGAGATTTCAGTAATTGAAACTCATGTTGTTGTTGTAAAAGTAGTTGTTGCAGCGACTTAAACATTTTGTGCTTATTTGCTTGAAGAGCGCTATTAGCGGCATGAAATGCTTAAAGATATTTACACGTGTTGTATGTGTTGTTTGCTGTTGTTGTAAAAATAGGCGCGTAAGTTGAGAGGATTGGTGGGTTTACAAATATTTTGATTTTAATTCTTGAATTTTATTTTATTTTTTTATAACTTTTGTTAAATTTTTAATATATGTATTTTTAATATACTTTTATATTTTTTGAAATTTAAATGTTTTTTTTTAGTTTCAACAGTACACAAACAAATGTTATATGTGTATGTTTAGTGTAAGTTTGTGTTAATGTAGTTGTGAAGGAGGTGAAGCTTTTTTTGGTGTAAGTTAAGTATACATACATATGTATTATTTTTGGGTTGTCGTTCTGCTTCTTTCTTTTTTTATATTATTGCAACTTTGTTTCGTATGCGCTTTGTAATTTCAAAATGGCGTACATGTAATAATTGTGTAATCCTTTCAAATATTTATATTAAATAATATTACTTTGTTACTTATATATTTGTTACATACTTAATTAAAATATTTTATGGTTTTTCAAAATTTTATTTTATTTTATTTTTTTAAATTATTTTTTATAATTGCATTTACGAACTAATTATTGTCGTCGTTTACTTTTTATATTAAAAATATTAATTAATACATTACTTTATATTTTTTTATTATTTTTATATATTAATATAATTTTATGTTTAGTTTAATGTGAAATATTTTATTAAAATAATTTATTCTTTTATGTTTTAAAAACTTTTTTGCCAAAAAAAGCACTTTTTATACTTTTTTAAAATTAAATAAAAACATAAATAAAAAATAGGGCTTTGCCCTTTTCAATTTTAAAATTATTATTGCACTTTTGTTTTATTTTTTAACATTTTCAATAAAAAATATATTTAATAAATTTTTTTTATGCACACATAAATACAAAATTATTTTTATATGAAATTAAAAACCAAAAAATTTCATTTGCCGCTCAAGCTTTAATTAATGTCGCACGTCAGGGAACTCGGTCTCGGACTGAAGCAATTTTGTCATGCCATCACAGTAAATGTCTTCTAGCATCGCACAAATTCACCACACCAAAACTTTAACATAGCCAACAAACAAAAAAGCTTTACGTCCAAATATGCTCAGCGGCAGAGCAGCAACCAAACAGCAGCACTGTAAGCAGAGAAAGAGAAACAGTCTTATTATTTATTGGATACAAATTTTATAAAAAATAACTTAAGTAGTTGTAAAGAAATAGTAAATATTTAACTTATATAAAATAATTTTTTTTATAATATTTTCAAATAATATTAAGTATGCCTTCATTTAAAATTCTTTTTTAAAATGTTTTGACCACAACTAACAGCAAATAACAGTTTAACTAATGTGTTTAACAGCAGCAGCAATAGCATTGACAGCAGAGGCAGCATTGGTAGCAGAAGAAATGTAGTTTGTTATTATTAAAAGGAAATGCAGAGGTAAAGACCACAAGAAAAACCAAATACAAACCACAACAAAAAGCAAATTTTTAACTTTTTAAGCTTCTGTTAACCACAAATTTTGTTTTATTTTCATTTTTTTTATTTGTTTTTGGTTTACTTTTGGCAATGTAAAAGGTTTTCTTATAGTTTAACAGTCTCTTTGTGAAATGTTGTATTTGTTGTTTTTATTTATTTAATGTATTTACTTCACACTGTCAGATATATTTTTCTATTATAAACAACTCTGGTAAAAAATTAAAAATATAATTTAAATTCTTATTGAAAAACTCTATTTTTTTTTATTTGTTTTTACATAAACTATTTTTTTCTTACATTCTAAGTTATGAGCTTAATAATAATTTATTAGATGTATAAAGGAATTAAAACAAAAACGAACGAAACATATTGTTTACAAAAATAATTTTGATAAAAAAATGTAAGTGAATTGAAAAACATTAAAATATACAAATCAGCTTAACCTTATAATCTATCTAGAAAAATTAAATTCGGTTATATAAGGCAATACTGTGACGATAGCCAATAATAGGTATGATATATGGCGAACGATGGAAATGAATGCAAACAGAATTTACTGTACTATATTGGAGACAAAGGTAATGCGAAGTAATGAATTTGTCGTCAATAAAACAAATTAAACAAAAATATCTAAGCATAGCTGAACAAAATTGGGCAAATGAATAATCCTCAACATCGACCTGGTTCAAATTGGACAGGAAACGGGTCAACTTCAACTGTTTCAATTAAGCTGCATAATATGAAAACATACTCGTTCTATCCTATAATGACTTCTATCTGGGATTTGGCTCAGCGAATGACGAAAAAACTGTACTCCACCTCAAGAGTAGATTTAGAATCTTTGGAGCCCCTTTTCTAACCTATTTGACGGATCTGTCATCCTGCAAAATTAGGAACTAGACCAAGTTTAAAGACTTGTCAGGTTGGTTTACCTTCACTTGAATGGAAGAATCGTGCCTTTTGGCGTTGTTCGTACGTCGATCTCTTGTCTGTGTTTGAACAACGTTAATCCGTGATATTTGAATATCACGGATTAAATAAATTATCCGTGATATATACTCAAATAAATTTGATATTTGAGCCCAAACACGCCAACAGCACTTCTTTAATTTGCTAGTTTGGCTGTTGCAAATGGGATACTAACATTTGACAAACGAATATCAGGGTGCAGGATGTCTCTATATCCAGGTACCCATCCGATCTAGACACTGAAATCAATATACTGGAAAAACGCTGTTCAAAAAATATTTTCTCCTATATCTGTTGCTTGGCAAAATCTTGGATACATCAATACTACTATGTAAACATTTTGCATCTTATCGTAACAAAGAACTAATCTTTTCTTGAGTTAAATACTTATACTGTTAGTATTATCATAAAATAAAATAAAATAAAAATAGTTTTCACACCATACAACTACAAAAAATAAAAAATAAAATAGCACTCTAAGTTAGCTCAAAGCTTACCAAAATTTAAACTATAATAAACCACAAAAAAAAGTAACTTCTTAAGGATACAATTGTAAGTCATAAAGACCTTCTACTCTTAAAAATGCAACAAAAGACCAAGGCTCAACTATAAAACCAAAAACAAAAAACTAAAAAAAGCACACCACACACAAACACCGAATTATTAAAAAACTCACCACAGAAAATATTCATTTGCTGAGCAAAATGAAGCAAAGCAAAGCAATATCGCAAATGCATTTATGACCACTCAAAAACATGGCCTACACATCCATATCCGGCATTTGTCGGCAAAAATTTACTACGAAGCAAGAACTAGGCGCGTAAATTTCTATTTTTTATATTTTTATTTCCATTTTACAATAACAAAAAAAGCTTGTTAGTATATGCTACAGCCATATACAGGGTCTCACTTACAAGTGTAACAAGTAAATGTATTCGATTCAGCATAATAACGATGATGCTCAGGGAATGTCACTCGATAAGAGTGAGGCTAACAGAAGTCAAGGGAAATGAATGGAAAGCAAAGCAAAGCGCATGAGCCTCCCCAAAGTACATAAGCACCAACACTAACGCAATTTTGCATAAGTACACACATACATAAAGAATGTGAATTGTTTGTGGTTTGTGTGAGTTGTGCGAGTTGTGTGGTGTCCTTGCTGACATTAAAAGTGAAGTGGGCGGTTTCTAGTGAGTTATAGTGAGTCAGTCGGTTTTTGTTTACCGTGATAAGCGACCATTTCGAAGTTGTACGTCTTTTGTGCAGGATGTGCGCACGATTGAAAAATCATGCTTTGGGAATCAAAATTTTTGGAGGAAGAGGACTATTACGCCACGCTTGTGACGAAAACAAAAAGCAATTGTAATAAAATAAAAAAAAATTATTCAAAATAAATAAAATAAAATTAAATTCTAAAAGTAACTTTACATATAAAAAAAAATGTGAATTTAAATAGAAAGTGTATATATAAATAAATAATGCGAATTAAGAAAAAGAGTTATTTTTTTAATACAATAATTAATTTTAAAACAACAATTATTTTTTATAAATTTAAATAAATAAACAATTTTTATAATTATCAAAACTTAGTTTTTTTTTTTAAAATTTTAATAATAAAAAAAAATTAAATAAAAATATTTTTTTTAATTTATAATATAAATGTATATATAATATAAATAATAATATATAATATAAATAAATAAATAATATAATATAATATAAATATATAATATAAATAATCTGAATAAAGAAAAATAGTTATTTTTATAATACAATATAATAAAATTTATAATACAATTTTTATAATACAAAAGCTGGTACAATAGGTCTCTTCTGGCCGCAGTACCGGCTGTTGGGCAATTTTCACGTCTACTCTTTTAATAATAGTTAATAATAATACAATAAAAAATCTTCCTAAAACAAAAATTGTTTATTATAAAAAATTATCAAAATTTAAAAATTATAAGAATAAAATAAAATGAAAATTTTTTTTTAATTTTTTATAAATATAATTTAGTAAAATAAAATCAAAAAAATTTTTTTAATTTTCTATAAATTAGAATAGAAAATTAATAAGATAATATTTTTATTAATAAAATGACAAACATTTTTTTTTAAATTGCTATAAATTTTAATATAAAATTAATAAAGAAAATTAATAAAGAAAAAATTAATAGTTCCCGAAATTTATTTAAAAAATATTTCTCTTATATTAAAAAAACTATTTTAAACATTTAAAAGGAAATATGTGATTGAACCTTTCGTATGAATACAAATTAAGTAAAAAGTATCCGGAATTTATAATTTGAAAAGCATGCCTAAAGATATTATCTTTGATAAGCAGATATTATATTATCTGTAAACATGATTTTTCATTGGTAAAGATAATATGAAAAAATGGAATATGAGTATATATACATTTTATTGAAAAAGTATCCGGAATGGAATTAGTATTTAAAAGAGCTTTAAAAGTATCGCGATTTACATAAGTTTTTTTTGCAAAACAATCAATTGAATATGATAGATCAGCAGATAGTGAGTATCACTTGAAATGGTCCTATATGACCTATATGTCTTCCATGTCTAACATGTCTAACATTAAATTAAAATAATTAAAGAAATAAAAAAAAGAAAAGAAATAATTTAAGTTGATACCTCAATAAAGCTAAAAGAACTCTTTAAAGAATTGAATCAAAAGCTGGGATATGTTTATTGTACTCAATTTCCTAATATTAAAGGCGACAAAGTAATAATTCAAATAATTCCGGACACTTAGTACACAAAATGTGCATAGTTTTAAAAATAAAATTCTAAAATAACTAAATTCTAAAAGAACACTTAAAAACTGAATGTAGTTTAGTTATTAACAATTAAGTTAAGTAGCCAGTTTCTCCTAATATTTGGATGAAACGACTTATTAATATATACTACAACTATAAAAAAATTTCTTTTTATAAAAATTAATAAAAAATAAATAAAAAATAAATAAAAAAATAACAAAGATAAATAAGTATCTCACAGTTAAATTCTTCAATTTGATCTTAAATTACTGAATGGATGATGCCATTAAAATAGAATGGAGAATGGATGAATATGCTCCAACGAAAAAGGTGTTCGAAGCGATAGTTTGAGGAAAAAGGCATAGAGGTAAAGCATGCATTCTATGAAGTGATCAAGTTGAGGAAGCACTAACCGTATTTAATGTACGAGACTCAAAGAGCGCACGATGCAGAAGAGCTTGAAGAGACATGCTGCGTCAGACGAATGCCCGGTAACAGGTTATGATTCCATTTTCAATTCCTACGGACATAAACACCCTTTTTATTAAAAAATATTACTCTTTTACTAGTAAGTAATATGATCCCTTAATAATATTATTAGGGACCCATGTGCTCTCTCTTAACTACACTTATGGTTCCAATTAAAAATGTAGGATATATATCTCAAGATAATGTTATTCGCTTTAATTTTAATTTAATTTATTCTTGAATTTGTTTACGTAGTAAATTTATTATTAATTAGTTTTAAAAGTCATATAGATAATATAATTGAGTTCACAATAATCATATCGAAACAACTGCTCACACCTATGATACATGATCATTGGAAATATGTTACTTAAAATTGAAAGATTAGACATATTTTAATTGCCATGGAAATAAATCTTCAATTCACATAACTATGTACACGTAGTCCATTGGTACTACACATGATAGGTACTTCAGGTATTAAAAGAGTTGAATGTAGAAGACTCCCAATTCAATACATTTTTCTTAAAACGGAAAAACTATTAAATTAAGGTTGTATTAAATGTAGAGTGCGTTCTACTTTATACATGTCATATATCTAACATAAAGATGAATTAAAGAAAGACTAAGACATCATTAAGCAATACAGCTGCATAGTTACCAGATATAGCAGTATATATCTTCGATCTTCGGACATATTTTTGGCAGTTAATACAATTTCGTTTAGAAATGCTATCGCTGACTCCATAGATAACCTCTTACACTAACTTTTAGACTACTTTTGAGTCATGACTACAGATACTGTACTTCTTTCCTGACAAACACAGGAGGCGAGCAGCTAAAATAGTCATATGATTTTCATCGCATTTTACAATATCTGTTAGTCTTAGCATCATTTAATTCCTTCTTTTAGGCACGGTATATATCTAATAAGAGCGTATAGACTTAAGAATCTAAACATTTCACTCGACCTTTCATTGAATCTGCAAATAATATCATCCTTAAGCTCCATTTTTGCAAGAAAATAGTTAACAAATCAGTAGTTAATATACATTTAGAATTATTTAGAGTATACATGATCACTTGTGTTGTTGCTCCGAATAAAGTGTTTATATTACCTTAATCTTTGTAAAAATTTAATAAGAAATCTAATAAGATTCTGTATCATAATAGCTAAATCAACAAAATCCAAACAAAAGAATAAAAATGTCGTTGAAAGACTTCAGCCTCTGAGAGATGCACCCCATCTGGTGCATGCATGTCAGAGACTATGTACAAAGCATTCAAAGGTATAGTTTAAATAAGAGTTCTGGAAATGATAAAGATTATGTTGTCAAACTTGAAGATCATAACTTCTGTTTTTAGGGATAACAAGTGGGCGCTGCGGAGTTACTACCACAAAAAGAGGTGCAAACTAACTGAAGTAAACTATGCCTTATTATTGAATGATTGTTGAAAACGTCCTCATGTGAACAGTAAAAATTTTTAAATTGGAATAGTTACGAGTTCACTCATTTAACAGTATAATTTATGTAGTTGAAGACTTGTGTCGGACCAAATAAAAAAACTATTAATTGGTTTTTATATTTCTTTTATATTTATTTAATAAAAAGTCAAGTTTGCTTAACACCTTCTTTAGGATGGAGTATTATTTGAACTTTTTATCAAGAAGTTGTAATAATTGGAAGCATATATCGGTGAAATATATTTAGAAACTATATAGAATCAAATAAAAAATATACAACTAATAGTTTTATATTTCGTTATGTTTTATTATATTATTTAAAACAACAAATAATATAGTGAAAAATTTTCTGTTAACTAAAACAATGTATTGACTTATAGTATTTCTCGGTAACCTTCATGAATAAAATCTACGGAATTGTTTTATCCACCATAAATTAAAATTTTTTAGCTAACTTGAAATTATACGGTCTTTTCCGCCTTTGTTAAAGCTCAATTTAGAGGGCTCCAAAAAGCTTTTAACAAAGACCGTAATCGTTACGGTATTTTCAAAAGCTATCTCTTACGGTCTTGGCTAAGACCGTAACACAATCTGTTTATATTAGAAAGACCGTGGATTACGATCTTTGCAAATGATGTGAATAGCACTTCAAATATAAATGGATAATGCAAAAAGATTTTTCTTGTAATTTATCAACCATCTAAAAATTTTAGCATTCCACTATATTTATATATATGATAAATACTTTTTTAACTACAAAAAACAAAATAAAAATAAGATGTTTGTTTTTAAAATCTACTTCAGCAAATTATAATATAAAAATTCCGTTTATCGTCAGAATTTAATTTAAACTCTATTTGCTTCCAATCATCGGTACACCTTATTAAATTTCGAGTGTTTACGGTCTTTTCAATTTGAAAAACTACATGACCGTACTTCTTGTATAAGGTGCTCAATAAAATTGTATCTTTTAACTAAAATTATAAATAGATATTAAATAATTATTAAAAATTAAAATAAATGCAAACACAATTGTTTGTTCAACTTCCCCCATTATTGCTTGTTTTGAGTTGGAAGAAATGTCAAATTGACCGTTAAACTTGGCAGCACTTTTGGTTTTAGTGCGGCAATTGTGTTTTTCGTTCAAGCATTTAACGGAAATATTTGCAGAGATAGCAAATTACAGTTATACACTTTTATAAAATAACAGCAAATTTACTAATATGAATAAAATAATTGCAACTTTCTTATCAATATATGTTATATTAAATGTTATATGACTCATTTTTGCATACAAAATCTCAAACGCATATGAGATTCATTGGATCAATGAATGCATTGAACAAACTACAAATAAAAGCTTTTCATGGTATTTTGACAGTTCGAGAAAACTGTTTTTGATATATTTACAAATTAAGGTAAACAATTGTTTGGTGGTTTCATTTTCTTGAAAACGATCCACCTATTTTTGGAACTTCTACTTCACAAAAATAAATTAATCGAAGCTAAAAACAAATTTTCAGTTTATGTTGTAAGGTTTGAAGATATATTTAACCTGTATCCAACATCTTTTTGGCACAGGCCAAAAGTCAAATCAACAGGTAAGTTGAAAAATCAGCTGTTTGAAATGAGAACAAATGAATTACAACGAGTGTAAACACTTTGAAATGACTCGTTCTAACCTTAAAACTGAATTTTGTATATTATAAAAAAATACAATTTAATTTCACTGAAACGAAGCCGAAATTAAGATTTTTGCAAAATTAAAATGTATCGGAACATAGTATAAGAAGTACTTTTTCAAAATCGCAAAGTTTAAATTCAACTTGTATGTCCCACTTTGAAAAACTTCTGATCTGGTCACCTTATTTTGAAATACTTCATTTTTTTTCATTATTTTTGATAACGAAAATATTTCAAACTAATAAAAAAAATTCAAAAAAAATTTCTGTGAACGTTTTATAAAGAATTTTATTTTTTTTTTCACTTTTTTATAAAATAAATTCGTTTAAAAGGTAATTTTGTATTTGAGTTTATTTACTTCTCACTTTGATTTCAGTTTGTAAACCACACTGAACTTCAAAAATAAAATAACAATTTATATAGCAAATACATTTAATATTTGTTTGCTTCTTACTTCTATTCGACTTATCAACAGTTGTTGTTTGTGTTACCTGTACGAAAGCAGTGGCATAAGTAAAAGAGTGATAAGTGTGACAAATAAAAGAGTGTTTGATATAAAGAACATCAAAAAAAAAAACAAACTTAAATGAATAGAGGAAAGACAAACAAATATACGATGTGTAAGTCCAAAAAGTTGAAAGCAAGTGAAACCGAAGCTGAAGCTGAAGCCGAAGCGATTTCGCAAGCAGTCAGCTATGGCTGTATGCGGCGACACTACTTCCGAAGCTGATTTGTTTGCTTTATCTTCTCTGTTGTGTGTAGTTGTTTTTATCTTTAACTTTGATTTGCTCTCGATTCGCTTTGACTTTAGTCGCTCGTACTTCGGTAATGAGTAGGTACGTGATTTTATATTATTTTTTTAAAAAATGTCTGGAATTAATGCAAAGCTAATTGCTGCGGTTTTTGCAAAGCCTTTATTATGGGATCAGAAGAATAAAGATTATTACAATCGATATGTTTCGGAAAAGAAATGGAATGAAATTGCCAAGCAATTAAAAACAGATGGTAAGTAAGAAATTATTTAAAAATCTTAATATTTATCTTTAAAAATATTTAAAAACTTTATTTAAAATGTTTCTACGAATGATGCCTATGTCGTTGTTGTAGCCCGCAACGATCTGCGTATGTAGACCCTTTTGCGTTCACTGAAAGATATTTGATTGTCGAACTCGACGTGTGATTCCGGGACGTAGACCTACCGATTTACTTTTACAAATTTTTACATTATCGAAAGCTACTTCATTTTGAAGAGTTATTTTTCTACTGATAGTTCATGGTTGAACTATTCTACCTAACCACTATATGCCTTATTAGCTGCCAATACATGTGATAACTAATGCTATATACTATACATAAATATTAATATTGTAAGTATATTTTTTTACAATTACAGTTAATTGGGTGCGAAGGAGATGGAAACAGTTAAGAGACACATTTAGACCTGAACTAAAAAAACTTCCACTCCAACAATTAGATGACCTAGGCGCTGATGAATATACTGAATCCTACTCCTCATGGCCCTATTTCAACCATATGCTCTTTATTAAGACTCAAATAAAGAGTCGTAAAACTAATACTAATTTTAGTAAGCAAAACGTTATAAGAGAAGATAACTCAGTAAAAGATGTTGACTTTAATGAATATGAGGACAACAATAGTAGCAATGATATGGAAATTCATATAACTGAAAAACAATCTATGAGTAATAAACGTAAATATTATGATACGGAAATATCGCTTGATGTGGAAACTCTTAAAACTTTACCAGAAACTCAAAAGAAATGTAAAAGTTATTTCAATAGATATTCAAATATTAGAAATATCGAGGAGAAGAACATACAAGAGAAAAAATCGAAAAACAAAATTGATAGCAATGATGAAGATATGGCCTTTTTTATAAGTTTATTACCTCATGTAAAAAACATGACTCCACCTCAAAAGCTCCTTTGTAGAATGGAAATACAAGCTACTGTTTTTAATCACGTATATGGAAAAGGTTCCTCGTCCTCTTCAATAACACAACATACCTTATCTTTGAATGAACACAACACTATACCAATATCATCTTATGCAAATACCAGAGTGCATATGAGTATGTCAGGTAATAATGAATGTGATCACGTTACCACATCTCCAGAACGACAAACTTCGTCCGTTCCTACACAATATCCTTTTGTTGAATATGTATTTTCACCAAAACAAGAAGAGCCAAATAATTCAATGTAACAAATTTTTTTACATACATTTATGTATAAAAATGTATTAGAGAGGTTTCGAACAGTAGTGAACTACAACAACAAAAATTCTTTTTATTTTATTTTAATTAATTGAATTTTTTGACTGCCCATATAACTGTTTCCAGTATTTCTACTTGTATTGCAAACATATAAGTCAAGTACGACTTTAGATCAGTTGGCTAATGAACGCTGACTCTGAACTTCAAATTTGGCAGGGTACGACCTCAACCCTTGGTACAAGCAATGTCAAAAAATTATTTACTAATAATTAAATACAAGAAATAATTCCAAGACCACTGATGATAGGTATTTGGCAAAACTTGAAACAGCTGTATGGTCAGCCAAAAATTTAATTAATTAAAATAATATAAAAAGAATTTTTGTTACTGTAGTTCACTACTATTCGAAACTTTTTTACCAAATATACTAGTTTCTATTAAAATAGTCACTTCCGTCATAACTGACGTTAAATTATAACTTACTTATATATAAAAAGTTATTTAAAAAATAATTATTTACACTTAAAAAAAAATGTAGAATGTTGTTGTAGCTCGCAAAGCTCTATAAACTTGAAAGGGATTAGAAACAGTAGTGGTAGTATGAAAGGGAGAGGGGATTATTTAGGAGTAAGAATGGATTTGAAATTAATGGGATTTTAAGTATAGTATCTATTCCTCTCATTTTACAATGCTACAAACGATCTATCTGTCTCCATTTTATTTTTTATTAAACTTATTGATCTTTGGCTGCTAGAAATTCTTTTTCCTAAATACTACAAGTTTTTAAGGTTATATTTTATTACAAATCCTTGTTATAGTCTTGCTCATAAAACGCGGTATATACAGTGTCACTATGGTTTCATATATGAGTCTCGATGGAGTTTCGGCTTCAGGTTACGCTTCAGCTTTAGCTTACGTTTCAGGTTTAGTTTACGTTTCAGCTTTAGCTTACGTTTCAGTTTCAGCTTACGATTTAGCTTGAACTTAGGTTTCAAATTTATTATAATTTTACTCTTATATTTGATCCACTTATATTTAATCTTCAATTGTTTGTCGCTGACATATGATAAATGTCTACCGGAAATTCTCCAGAAAATAAAGTAATCTTATGCTCATATACTTTTGAGCAGCAATCGCTGACTACAGTTACTAGTAATATCAAAAATGTTATTTAGCAAATATAGTTAAATAACATTACGCATAATTAAGCTACTGTCCTAGCTACAGTTGTTATTTTTCTTTGTTAAGAAGGGAAAGAGGTTATCTATCGCCTAGTGACACCACTGCTGTGAATAATTTTCATAAACTAAAGCAAGACATAACTAAATATTCAAGATTTCCATTTAAGAGCGCAACTATAAAACTAAATTATAATTTGCTATGTGAACAAGTTCTTAGTGAAACCTGCAGAATCTGCGAAATTACAATTACTTATAGCGTTTGAATAGGTTGCTATTCAAATATATTAAAATGACCGATAAAACTATTACAATTTTAAAATGACTAAATATTTATACATTATCGGTTAATATTCCTACATTGGTAAGCCCCTAAATAACACCATAAAATATACTAGGAATTGTAGATTAAGTGCAATAAAATTACTTTACGTCCGTTTGACTAAATTTCTAGAAGTAAAGAATCAAACACAAGTGTTCAGCAATAAACTAGAAGTTAATTTTAAATAAAATTTCTTCATATGAAGAGAGCAAATAAACATTTGTTAATCAAATGTTTACTTGATAACGAGTTTCTGTAAAACTTACTTTTTTATAATAAAAATTTACTTTATAAATTCATATATAGGAGCGAATTTCTAAACGTTTTCATTATTCAAAAGTAATGCCATTTATGTGAAAATAAAATAATGTATAATTAATTAATTCAAATATATATATAATCATATATATGTAAATTATTTTATTTGTTGACATATTTTTTTAAAAAATTTTATAGATCTTGAAAATGATTTACTTGTTATATATAGTATAACACGACTTTTATACTATGTTAGGTCATAATACAACTTTTTAATCTGTAGTTAATATATTGCTATATATTTCTGCTTAATTTTTTATGCTGAGTTTAAAATTATGAAATTTATAATAATATAAAAATATTCTATTTATATAAATATAATAAATTAATATATAATTACATGTATGGGAAAAATTAATTATCTATAATAAATAATAATATGAACATATATATATATATACATTAATTAAATTTATTTATTTTTTAAATAATTATAATTAATTAAAAATAAAAAATATTTTTTAGATTTCTTATATATTTATGCTTATAATTTACTTTCAGTGAAGACTATACTCTAGTTTTTGAATTCATCTTTTCGAGCAAATGAGTGCCTTTTAAAGTTAAGGCAGTACTTAAAAATCGGTTCTAATTTTATAATATATTATCAGTTGATAAAAATATGGCGTTAGTGTTTATTTTTTGAAATTTTGTTTTTATATGAACAACAATTTAAAACTATTTATAAAACTTACATACAAAAAAGTTCAAATAATAGTGAATATTAATAAGTTATAAAAAATAATATTTAATAAGAGATCCATAAAACAATTGAAGATATTAAAACTATATAAGATTTATTTGACAATTTTATTTCAAATTGCATATATTTCTGTCCAATATTATTATGTGAATAATTTAAAAATTATTGAATATTACAATTCCTTAATATTTTATTATTTTATTTATCTTAAAAAATTTTTGTATATAAAAAAGTTATATATATTTACCAGTTTATATTATGATAAAATATCGTGAAAATCGTTAAACCTACTTTGAACGGCGTGGATTTGTTTTGTATTTCTATACTAACTTTCTTCCATTTTACATTTTATACTTTATCATCCACAATCCACTTCTCATGTCTATTATAAATATGTGCTGCCAGACCAAGTGGTAAGAAAATTTCATATTATATTAAACCATAAATATTTTATATTTCATTTATCGTTTTATATAAGCATATTTGTTGAGTATTTCCCTTAATAAAATATTTTTAATATATTATATTTTTGCATATATTAAAAAAATAATTTATTTCATATATAAGTTTAACAAATCTGTTCATTTGGTAACATAATTTTTTAGTATTAATTTCTTCCACAATGTAATCCACATAATTTCTACAACTTCTATTAAATATAATCTGGTAGCACTATTACTTTGTGCGGCAGAAAAATTTGCATTCTCTTGTGTGAATTCGTTTAGTCGACGCCCGTTTCATTAAATTATAAATGAAAAATTATATTTTTTATTAAAATTTATTACAATAATATGTTTATAAATCACTTTGAAGTTGTACTTCAAATATAAATTTACAAAACTATTTGTAAACAGATTTAAAATAGAAGGAGTAAGCAAATATTGTGTTAAAATAAAATAAAATTCTCTACATGCAAAAAAGTGCACTTGTACCAAAATTTTTCCTTTCATTATTTTTATTGTTTTGATCAAAGTAGACAAAGTGAAAAATTTTAAAATGAAGTTTATTTGGTGTTAAATTGAAATTCAAAAATAATTATTTTCTTTTTAAGAAAATAGTAGATTCAAAAATTTAACAAATTCTCATATTTATAATATTTTCGCGTTTTTTTTATATTTCTTTTTGTTACAAAAAAAAAGTGCGTGTGGAAATTTGTAAATAGGCGGCGTGAAATACTTTTTTATTTCTTTGTAAAGTAAAAAAGAAAATATTTTGGCGGCTTTGTTTTCTGTGTTTAATAATAATTTCTAATTTATTCCTTCTTTTTCAGTTGTATTTCAATCAGAAAAAAAAAGAAAATTTAAAAAATTTGTGTTTGTTTTGCGAATTTGTCGCAGAGCGGCAATAAATTTTGTGTTTATATATTTTTGTTTTTTGTAATAAAAATCATTTATGACTAACTGAAAACAAAAACTAAAATATACAAAAAAAAAATTGCTAAAGACAGCGAAATTAACTGCAAAGAAAAGCGTATAGTGCAAACGGACAACACAAAAACAACAAACACGCGGAGTACAACGAAAAGGGAGGGGAAGGGAAAGGTTGAACAAAATTTTGTCAGTTTTTTTTGTACAGAAACGGCATTAAACATTGCTACAAGACGCCAAAACAAACGGTAAGTTTTTTCTTTCAAATTTTCATATTAATTATCTTTTTTCGTTACTCCTCCTCCTCCTCTCTACAACGAAACTAAATAGTTAGTATTTTATGATTTTGTTTGGTTTATCGTATTTTCTACTATTTTAAATGTGTTAGTGAATTTTATTGATTTTTCATTTGAAGAATATTTTACCGTTTGGTTTGTTTTGATCGTTACGAACTTAGTTTAGTGTCTAAATATATGTTTTTCTATCTCTCTTTTCAATTGAATTTTTTTCTTAGTTTTTAGTAAAAACTGCTGAAAAATACAATTATAATATTTTATTAGTATTGCAATTTTTTTACTTAAAAATTTTTATATGACAAGTATATAATAGAAAAAATAATTAATAAATATATAGATAAAAATTTTTAAGCTTATTTTTGATATGAATCATTATTAAATTATTTATTATTCTATTTAATGTGTATTAGTATTAAAAATTAGAATTTAAGTTAGTATATTAATTATATATATAGATATAGATATAGTATAGATATAGTTCATATAAGTATTTAGATTTGTTTTTATGTATTAACCGTATTTGTGGAATGCTACTTTAAAGCACTTTATGACGCACGTTGATGCTATATATTTAGAAATATGGTTTTAGTTTAGTCCATTTTAGTATTAGTCATTTTATTAGGCCTTATCTTTCATCAATTTTGAACTATAAACAATAATAAAATATATCAAAATATTAAAAATTTCATTTGAAATCTATGATAACATCGTAAGTAGTATTATTATGATAAATTGATTGGGAACATAAAGTGGTCTGATTTGATATATTACACCTTCAATTAACTAATAACAACTGGAGAACTTAGAATACTTTTGAATAGGGAACTACTTATTAATGTCTAAACTAAAACAAACTAAGATAATGCATTAACCGCTTTCACAACTGGTTTATTTTGTTGTTCTGTCCTTTTCAGGACACTTTGCTCTACTATGACCTACCATAAAATAATTCTACAAATTTTGATTCTTAAGCCATTATTTTTTCAGTTCTGTAGTGAATAACCAGTATTTATTGAGGCGTAAACTTTTAATTTTATTATTGCCATGGTTATATCAGTTTTTATTTCCATTTATTGTTTGAGATTCCTTTTGTGAGATCTGTGACATTATATCTCCTCTATTTCCACTTATAAGTTTGTTAAAGATGCGTTTCGTGCGATCTCCAACATTGTGTCCTTTCTATTTCCAGTTAATTTGTTAAAGATGCTTTTTATGCGATCTCTAACATTTATTTCTCCACTTATTATTTTATTGGAGATGCCTGAACTGATATTTCTAACATTATGTCCTCTCTATTTCCACTTATAAGTTTGTTGAAGATGCGTTTCGTAGAATCTCCAACATTGTGTCCTTACTATTTTCACTTATTTTGTTAAAGATGCCTTTTGTGTGATCTCTAACACTTATTACTTCTCCACTTATTATTATATTGAATATGCTTTTACTGATATTTCTAACATTATGTTGTTTCTTTTTCCACTCCTTAATTTGTTAGAGATGCCTTTCGTCACACCAAACATAAGTACTTTCTGTTTGCTTCCTTTTTTTCCTATAACCATGGATATTTCGACTTTATTTTATATTGATAATAAAATATAAAGTAACATAAAAGGCAACGACAAATTTTATGGGGAGTATGGAAATCACCAAGTCAATAGTCAAACCTCGGCTTTTCATAGCTTTAAGCATTTTAATTTTATGCAAGCTAATAATATTAAGTTTATGGCAAGTTCGCAGTATTTCGATTTCAACTTTATATATATATATATATATATAAGTATATATATGTGTATCTTTAAAATTTTCGATAAGTAAAAGAGATGTAAACAATATATGTGCATTAATTAATATATGCCAAATCAGTTTGTAATATCAAGATTCAAACTCAGTTTGTTTTAAATATTAAGATTTCTAATCGATTTTTGATTTCAACACATCTCTTAACGAGATGTTCAGTAATCTTATTGAGATACCCTGTAAAGATATAGTTTTTTCATATCACTTTCAATCATTCATGACGCAATTGTAGACAGTACGATGAAAGTGCCTCACTTTTGCGTTGTTATTGTTCAGCAAATACGCGGCGCTATTTACATGCCTCTTTTTTTTTTGAGGATCTTGACCAACTCTGCGATCCGTCATTCCTATTATATGAGTGAGATAAGTCAAAGGTTCAAGGTGGTTTTTAAAACCTTTGATTTTTTTGAAACGTTAACACAATGGGCGAATAGGACTAAGTGGATCCTTTGGATCACCGGTATAACCTAAGCATACATTGTTCTTCATTTTTGAAATTATCTCGTGTACTAAAGAATCTAAATCTATAGTAGTATTACAGTACAGAATTAATAGTATCTTCCTTAGCCACTTTCTAACACATTTAATGCTTAAGAAACAGTTTAATGCTAAATCTTTTACGTTTAGATATACTGAATTAGTCTAAGTATCTATTAATTGAAGCGATATAAATAAACTTATCAGAAAGGAATTGAAAGAAGAGTCTTTACTCTTCTTTTGGAAGCATAAAAATAAATCATAGAGCTCAGTAATAATATAAATCTTATAGAAGATGTAGTTAATAACATTTTATGCAACTCTCTAGATTTCACTTTACTTATTCGAAATATTTGTCTGGCAAAAATACAACTAAAAAACTAAATGAGTTTTTTATGTTTATGGAAAATGCTATAAAGAAAGCATAAGAAGGAAGCATAAAGTGGGTCTTGATGTAATAACCGCAGCAGATACAGCCAAAAAACAACTTGGCTGCATTGCATTAAAGCTAGTCTAAGTATCTTGTGTGTGTGCTACTTTCATTGGAAAAAGTAAAGAATTTCTTAAAAATGTGGTTTTACTTCTTTACTTAACTGGAAATTGTATTAAGAAAATGTTGAAATAACTTAAATTGAAGTTTTACAATGAAGATACCACATATAAATTATTCCAAAAATGAAGTCACTGTTAATATTTTCGTTTAAAAAAAATATTTTATTTAATATTTCACTTTAAGTGTGTTACTTTATCAATCATAACCTTGAATTTACCATTTACAGTACGCCCACCTATTTTTAAATTACCTTATATAAGTAAAGAAAATGTATCTGTTTTGTCTTAAACATTTTTACCTATTATTCAGATATGGGTATATGATATAAAGGGTGTTTCATTACTCATGAAAACAATTTTTGCTTAACGAAATTACTTTTTATCTTATAATTAGAAAAATAAAATTTAAATATATTTTTTATACAAATAAAAAAATATTATTTTATACCAATTAAATATAGAGTAATAAGTTCTAAATAACTATAATTTAATTGACAACTTTAATGACTAATGATCGATTAAAGTGGTGTTCACACCGACACTTCTAAATGGAAGTGTAATTAAATTGTTGAATTATAGGATGTATTTTGAATGTTTTTACAGTTTATTAAGAACTGGACATTACTGTATAACTTTTTTTGAGAAATTATAAAAGCAAATTTCATGCTCTTGTTTCAAAATTTATAGAAATGAATATATAAACTAAACAATTTTTTTTGTTTCATGTTTGAACAAAAGAATTGTGTCTGTGTGAACACCACTTTTCAACGTCAAAACATTTAGAAGTGTTCACACCGACACTTCTAAATGGAAGTGTAAATAAATTGTTGAGTTATAGGATGTATTTTAAATGTTTTGACAGTTTATTAAGAACTGGACATTACTGTATAACTTTTTTTTGACAAATTATAAAAGCAAAGTCTATGCTCTCGTTTCAAAATTTATATACATAATTATATAAATTAAAGAATTTTATTTGTTTCATGTTTGAACAAAAGAATTGTGTCAGTGTAAACACCATTTTTCAACGTCAAAGCTAGCACTTCACTATGTTACTTAGGTACTAAACTACCCAAATACATAATATGAAGTCTTTGTTATAATGCCAAAATATACACTCAATTTTCTATTTGCAAGCCTATTACTGGTATCAACGTTAGTAATTCTTATAATTGCCACAATTCATTTTTTTTAATTTTTCAATGATTTTAAGTTAATTTAAGGTCAGCATGAAATTTTGGGAAGGATGTCTCTTAAAATAAAAATATTTTATTAACCCTTTATAACCTCTATTTATGAATATAATTGCCATAGACCAGATGTCTAGGAGAAAAAAGGTTATTAATATGAGCTCAACAGGCTCCAAATAACCCAAAAACCATTCAAAGAAAAAATAGGAGTTCATTTTCTTCAACGAAAAATTCAATTTAAATTCAATGGAATTTCAGTTAGCCGAAAATGTGATTGCATTAGATTTTTATTTATAATCCGTGACGATGTTTTTTCAAGTATTGACTACTGTCAAAACTACCTGATGCAATTGACGATAGTTGAATTAAATTTTTAGCTAACCAAACATCTGCTAGAGATTCTCCGAAATATGCATTTTAAGTCATGTTCTAATATAAGAGGATTTAAGTTAAATTATTTGTATATATTCGAGTACCTGTTACAATTAAATATAATTTTGGGTTAACTTTTGACTTGTTTCGTATACTGTTAAATATATTCATATATATTAAACTACCTGTACCAAAAAATTATAGTCCCAACTATGCAACTGTTTTGGGCATTTCCAGATATTAATGATATGTGTTTTTTTCATTGTTAAAATTCGCTTAAATAGATGTCAAATTTTAGACTGCCGTCAGACATTGTCAGTCCTTGTACCTTAACAGTTTAAATAAAGACTAGTATTATTCTATTTAAGTGTGTTAAAATATTTTTTTTAAAAGTTCTTAATTATAATGTTAATTTAATGTTAAAATTTTAAATCCATAGAAAAGACTGTGAAATACAAATAAATTAATAGTGAAGTTACAATAACTAAGTTCAACTAATACTGTAAGTAATGTTTATGTTTATAAAGAATATATCTTTATATATAAACTAAATATATAAAAAAA